TTTTTGCCGTTGGCAAACCATCATGTATAGAAATTGTACATGTTATGTCATCATGTGAAACCATGAGATCATTTGAAAAATGCACAAAGTATCTCTCCCGTGTAAGGTGTGGAGTCACTATCCTTTGTTTGCATTTTTGTTAGTATCATGTTGTGGTAACGTTCGATGACATCATGAAGCTGCTTTGACGACGAAGGTCGATCCAGTGGATGATGATTTGTAACCCATGTGAAGCTATAATAATCTAAAAAAGAGAGGATTGCGTGATATCTTTGGTATTGCTTTCTCACAAAAAAAAGGGTTGGTATTGCTGAGCATTTTTTTTCTGTTCCAACTTCCTCGTAAACAAAAGAAGTAATTTGGGCTAAAACCATGACAATAATTATGGAGAGTAAAAAGGTTCAGGTTGCCTTTGAACTTACCTCAACATAAGTTTTAGTAGCTATCTGTCATTGTCGAGTCATGCGAAAATGCAAATTCGAATGAGTTGCAGCTTGGATGAACATCAAAGAATTGAAAGGGTATATCTAAATAGCTAGTCTCCACTAACCTATTTCTCTGAATATGCAACGTGCATAGGAATAAGGTCCACCTCAACTAGAGATGAGTTTTGGGGCTCAAGCTCCATGGAGCTCATTTTAAAAAAATCAAAACAAATGTTTCAAAGTTTCAAATCCTGAAAACGAAAACACAACTCCATATGGATGTATGCAAATTTTCATGAGAATTGGTGATTTTGAAAACAGTGAACAATTTGTGCACTGTTCACTATAAAAACCAACGATTTTCACTTTTTCTGTACCTCGCAAATCAATGTATTTCTTGTCAAAGTTCAAACACATGTAGTATAGATCCATTTTTTTAACTTTGAATATGATTTTTTTAATGTGTCAAATAAAGGGCTGTATCCCGAGCACTAAACGCCGCACATGCAATCATGCATAGGAAAAAAAATCTATATGCCAACATGCATGAGAATTTTCATTCTATTATGTTTATACAAATAAATATTTTACAATAATACAATAAATAAACACTAATGCAGAACTGGTTACTGCCCGCCACTCGTAATCCACTTACCGATGGCGAGCGACGGTGACCACCCGACACTTGTATACATGTTACCCGTGGTGGGTGGATATTCTCAACCGCCACTAATGCAAGACCCTGCTAGTGCGAGCATGTCCCACACCCGTTGGTAAGGTCGCCCAAGTAAAAAAAAAACTGCCACGACACATGACATCGCGTTACATTATAGTTGCATTGCATTACATAGATAAATTGATGTATCAACATTTGAACATGCATCTTGTTGAAAATATGCTCTAGATGCAATAATAAAGTTGTTATTATTCTACTTTCATCTTCATAATTAAGTTCATATTTATATGCTAGAATTGCAATGGTCTTGAATGTAAGATTTGGAGGAAAACCTAGTTGCATGTGTAGAAAGATAAAGGCCAAACAGATCCCTAGTCGGGCCTCTGAACTAGCTCATGTAGTGTTGGTTTTGCGAACCAGACCATGGGCATTGCTAGTGTAATAAGGATGCTAAAAGTAATGAGAACACATTGTTAGGTTAATGATGGTGTTGGATAGACCCAACTTATGAAATACTACGGTATCACGTCATCAATATGTTATTGGTATTTTCATATAAAGTGCTAACATTTACTTACGCCCTTAGACCATGGGAATATCGCAGACTCGGATACCGGATTGTTACTTTGGGGTTGCCAAACTTTACTCCATAACCGGCTAATAATAAAGGCAACTTTCAGATACACCAGAAAAGTATGGTGTGGTGTTCGGTATGTTAAGATCGAGATTTGCCCCTCCGGCGATAGAGAGATACATTCCAGGTCCACTCTGTATTACGATGTCTAGCATTGCCTAGCCAGTTATAGTGACTAAGCTGTTTGTCACGGGGATATCGGAATATGAAAACAAGAGAAGAGTATAGACTCGTAACGAGGATAACTAGGTATAGTTATCAAGGTGTTGATTGCAGTGATACTGTAAAAGTCTCACATTGGGTTTTGTAATGTAACGCAAGGTAAAGGGAGTTGCGTGTGATAACAAAAGGTTCGCTCGATAATGATCGCTGCTGATATGTGGTTGTCCAAAACCCTCTAATAATTATTGACCTGAAGGTGGTCTGGACATGTCCACATATTACCAAACCTGTAGGATCACATGTTTAACGACTAGCAACATGTAGGAGTACTATGATATGATGGAGAATGAGAAGGGTCTCGAAAGAGTTTCAGATGATCCTTGAGGTGTTCCGGGGAGGGGGGGGGGGTTCTGGAAGGTCCCCTATGTATCAGAAGCTTACCAAAGGTTCCGAAAACTTATGGAATGTTTTCGAGTTCCCATTGGGCCACCCTCAGATTGCCTAGGGGCAAGAAGCCCAAATGGGCCCAAATCGACCGGTCCCCTAGCTTGGAGGGCAAACCAACTTGAGAGGGCTCCCTAAAATAAACAGAGAGGGGTCCCAGGAGGACTCCATCTCCTGGTCGGCTGACCCCCTCCCTCCTTGCATATTTAGGTGGGGAGGGGCACACCAAAGGATACCCAAGCCTATGGCCCACCCCTTGCGTTTTGATGCCCCCTCTCTCCCCGATCTAGGTTAGATCTAGATCGGTTTGCTGCTAGGCTGCTTCTTGCTCTAGTTCTTCGTTCAGAAATCCTTATGGGTAGCAAAACTCCAACATTGCAAATGCAACCTAAGAGGGTGATGTTGGAGATATGCCCTAGAGGCAATCATGTATGATGATATTTCCTATGTGTTTATGAATAAAGATAGTCCTTGGACATTATCAATGATGTGTATCAGCAAGTACGTGACTTGTTTGTGGGACTATGCATTGTATGACGACTGTCCTAAAAGGTCCCTAGTCGAAAGGGCTGTGTGGACGCGCAGCCGACTAGACTAGCATATGACACGGTCGATGGCTTGGTCTCACTAGCCATGGAGCATTGGATGCTAACCGCATAATATGGACTTGGAAAGGTCTGGTCGGATTCGACATAGTCGGATCCGAGTCGAGATAAGGTCCGAGTCGGACAGCCCCAACTATGAGATGCAGCGATATGTCATCTGTGAGTCTCTCGTACAATATACATTCTATGTCCTAAGACCTGAGCTGACGCATGTACTCGAGATGGTGACAGACTTGCTTTGCGCCGACCAAACGCTACTCCCTGACTGGGTAGTTACAAAGGTAGGTTTCGGGTTTGTCCAGTCCCATGCTGCGTGACATGGTCGAGCAAGATGGGATTTGCCCCTCCGATCAGGAGAGATATACTCTGGGCCCCTCGTGTGATCCGACCAGGATAAGCATGGCCATGCGACAAGGATTATGAGATAATCCGTTTTGTGGTCGGTATCACTGGAACGAGAAAGAGGTCGGGCTAGCACAAGGATGACAGTCTCGCCTTGAGCCCGATAACATATATCGTGAGGCAAAGGGAACAGAAGTGTGACACGTTGTACAGGTTCGCCTAACCAGCTTCATAGTCTGCTTGGTGGTCGGCACGCCTTGCTAGAGGCCGCTACCAACCGTGCAGGTCGGAGGTGATCCGAACAGCGACCAAGCTGACTTGAACCTAAGGGGTCGCGCGCTTAAGGGAAGAAACCTACGAGGTCGGATCCGAGGACACTGGTCGGATGTGATCTGAGCTGTATTCGGATTGTGGCCGAGTAGACATGTGGGCTTTAGGGTCCGTGCGAGGCCCAAGTGTTGAGCCCGCGACGGACGCCTATATAAAGTGGAGGTGCTGCACACTCATGTGAGATCGCTTCGGCGCTGCGACTAGGGTTTGCATGTGTTGCGAATAGCCACCTCCACTCGCCGTCGACTGTGTGATCGGACCTAGCAGTCCGCCGCACGGTGTTCCTCCTGCACGCGCGGATACCGTTAGAGGCGGTGCACTTGCGCCGCTCCGACGAACTTGTACGTGGGATCGGACGAAAGGTTGTTCGAGGAAGGTCGGACGAGGAGGAGACGATCCACGCGGACGCGCTGCCCCAACTCTCCTTCCGCTGCACGGCACTGCGCGTCTAGTGGTAATGATCTGTGATCCATCTCCCATAGCATGTTCTTGGTTGTTCTGCGCGTAGGAAATTTTAATTTGCAGCCGACGCACCCTACCATAGAACCCAACAGGTGAAGAATACCACCCGTAGGTGCGAAAGTCCCCTTCTACTCCCGAGCTCATTTGAGCTCCGGATGAACAGTGGATTCCAAAAAGAAAAGAAAAATGATTTTTTTGGGGGGTGCAAACTTAGACAAATGTTCTCAGTGCTTGCAATTTTTTATCCCGAAATCACATTCGTGGAATTCTTGGCAAAAAAAAAAACACAACACTCTAAAATGCTTTCGGAAATAGCATATTGGGAGCATCGAGTTTCTCTTTTTACCACGACTTCCAGAAATGCCATCTGATGATAAATTTTTGTAAGCACGGAAAACATATGTCAAAGTTTGCACCAAAAAATTCAGATTCTTTTTGAATTTTTTTACTGTTTTTCGATTTTACTGTTTATTAGAGAGCACTTGAGCTCGGGAGTACGTGTATTTTCTAAAGAGACGATGATCCATTGGTTATTGGTGCCGAAGAATGGCACAGGAAGCTGGAGGTTGCATGCTGGCAGCCGGGCTCGGGCCGCAGTGGAGTGGGTAGGAGTCTAGGAGAGGGCAGTTCGGTTGAGCAAGAGACATCGTTGGACCTCGTTCAGATCCGGATTACAGGACTCTAGTCAAGCGCGCACGCAAGGGCTCCGGACAAAATTTGAAATAACAACACCGCACATCAGCTAAAATAAAATCTTCATATCACCTCTTTCAAATAGCTAGCACGCTAAATATTGTTTGTTGTTAGTAGAAACAAGCTATCCAATCTCACTTGTCACGAAAATAAACAATATGAAAACAGCTCTAACTCTCCAAATAGAAACCCTTCCCTGGCCTAAGACTTCAGCACCTATCACTCTTCTACTCTATCAACAGAGCATCCGGGAACGCTTCCTCGACTTCACTCAGCCTGCTATCAACCGTGTCAGCCTCGAGGGCGTCGATCTCGTACCGCACTTCCTCCATATGCTCGTTTATGCTAGTCACTGCCTCTTGAATGCCCTGTATTGCCTCCTTCAGAGCGGCGTCGTACTCTGCATCCGCCTCTGCGTCCTCAGTGCCTGAAGCCTCAGTTATCTCCTTGAGGTTCGCACACACATGCTGGGATGTGCTGCTTGACCTGCAGTGCTCATGGTTTACCAGGCGTTCCGAAGGACGGCCAGCCTTCTTCAACACCTGAATCCTAGCTGTCTGATCCAACCAACCAGAAATATAATGAACAAGCTGACAAGTGACTGGGGGAAATTTTGACTAAAAAAGTGCAGCAAAAACAGTATACAAGATGATGATAACAACAGAGGTTGCATTTGTCGCAAAACATAGTATAAATTTAAATCCAGGTAATGCCGATGGAGAAGAATGTGTTAAAGCACTAACATCAGTAAAGTAGGCGAAGTACTACCGCAGTACGAGATCGGAATGGTTATTATGCTATTAGAGCAGATACTATCATGCGCAAACCAACTTATCCCTGTGAGACAACTGAATGGATGCATAGATGGATGTTGCGGTTCAAACAATGATTGCAAATGAAAATTGACAAGTCTTTTCGGTTTGAGGTGCTAATTCAATTTTCCCTAATCAAAAAGGTAAAAGAAGGACCTGCATATGGTGTTCGTTGACTTGGATAATATACTGCGGAATGCCATATGGTGGGCCTTGGAGAAACACAAAGACCCAACAAAGTACATTATCCTCATCAAGGACATGTACAATAATGTTGTGACAAGTGTTCGAACGAGTGATGGCGACACCGATGCCTTTCTGATTAAAATAGGACTGCTCCAAGGGTCAGCTCCCTTATCTTTTTGCGTTGGTGATGATGGATAAGCTCACAAGGGATATACAAGGAGATATCGCATGGTGTATGCTCTTTGCGGACGATGTGGTGCCAGCCAACGATAGCCGGACAGGGGTTAATAGAAAGTTTTGTGGAGACAGACTTTAGAATTGAAAGGTACATGAGGTACAGTTTCAGTACTACAGGCACGAGGAGGTGAACCTTGATGAGCAGGTGGTACCTCAGAAGGACACCTTTAGATATTTGGGATCAAATTTGTAGAAGGATGGTGGTATCGATGAAGATGTAAGCCCTCGAATCAAAGATGGCTGGCTGAAGTGGCGCCAAGCTTCTGGCTTCTTCTGTGAGACTGTGACAAGAGAGTGCCACTAAGGCCCCGTTCGGAAGTTCTCTAGCTTCCCAAAGAGGCCAGCTTCTCTGCTAGCCAGCCCAAGCCAGCTTCGCACGGGAGCGGCCAAGCGTTCGGCAGCATGGGCCAGCGAGGAGAGGCAAGGGCTAGTCTGACACTGGGGTCGTGAGGTTGCTAGTTCGCTCGGGAGTGTTTTTTTCTAATCGAAACGTAACGCAACTCACTTCAGGATGGCATTCTCGTGTAAATTCATTCAACTCCTCCTTCGTAGTTTGGAGGAGTTACGCTTTCGCTGCTCCACGGAATTGCACTGCAGGAAGGTTGGGCTTCCTGAAGTTGGCTTCGTGGAGATGGGCCGTTCGGCATCGCTCCACGCGCGGAGCTGGTGAAGCGCAGAGATGGAGAACTTCCGAACAGGGCCTAAAGGTAAAAGGTGGGTTCTATGGATTCAACTTACAATATTGTATGGCGCTGAATGGTGGCCAACTAAAAGACGACATTTCCAACAATTAGGTGTAGCAAAGATGCGCATGTCGAGATGGATATGTGGTCACACAAGAAAGGATCGGGTCCGGAATAATGATATACTCCCTCCATCCCGAATTAGTTGACTTAGATTTGTCTAGATGCGGATGTATCTAGACACGTTTTAGTGTTGGATACATCCATATCTAGACAAATCTAAGACGACTAATTTGGGACAGAGGTAATACATGATAGAGTTGGGGTAACACCAATTGAAGAGAAGCTTGTCCAACATTGTCTAAGATGGTTCGGGCATATACAACGCAGGCCTCCAAAAGCGCCAGAGCATAGCGGACGGTCAAAACGTGCTGATAATGTCAAGAGAGGTCGGGGTAGACCAAAGTTGACATGGGAGGAGTCCGTAAAGAGAGATCTGAAGAACTGGAATATCACCAAAGAACTAGCCATGGACGGGTGCGTGGAATTAGCTATCCACATGCCAGAACCATGACTGGGTTTCGAGATCTTATGGGTTTCAACTCTAGCCTACCCAACTTGTTTTGGACTCTAAGGCTTTGTTGTTGTTGTTGAAACGGTAAACTTGACATGTAGTAAAACGATTAGAATGACAGCACAGAAGAGACAACTTTAATTTCTCATCTGTCCAGTTGCATCTCCATAATAAACTTTGTCAGGTCAGAACAAAATAATGTCACCATAATCACATAAAACATAAATTTGGTATACTGGTGTTTTTATACAGCTTTTTATAAACATCGAATTATATTGGAGTCCATACAGCAATACAGGAGTTATTGAAAGCATACCAGCTGCAATTTATCTCTCTCACATGCTTGCACATCCTTCAATAAGTTGGCAAGATCTCCACGACAAAAATTAGGCTTTGAGAGGAGGGACACCATTTCAAGAATCTGTAGTGAGCAATATTAGATATCTCACCTTTTATGATAAAAATGTATGAGTAAAGCATTTAACCTGTGTTGAGCAATCATTAAATTCGGCTGTAACATTCCCACATAGTTGTTGATAAGCACATTCACCTCCATTAGCAATATATTCAGAAAACCCGCTGCAAAACTTTCATAGTTTGAGTGATCATTAAATAGGAAGGTAGTTTTCATGCAATAATCTTCAGATATAATATTTACAACGCACTATCCAAAGCTAAGCTAAGCATGCACAGCTAGCACAGGTGTATTTTACAGCCAGAGCAACAACCACAGTTCTAAACCATACACGGTTATACACCAGCATCTTGCAAAACAATTAGAATTTCTAATTGCCCAGCATACGCCAACAATGGTTTATAGAATAGTCGTCAGCAGTGTGCATTGGCAGACAGAACTCCACTATTGATGTTAAGATACTACTATCAGGACATATGGAGATTATCTTTTCGTTTTCTTGCTTAAGTCCAAATAGAGAGATATTTTCTTTTGTAGCATTACTGTATGATCACAAAAATGAGGCCTAATCTAGATTTCCAACAGAAGAGAGCCTACTGCAAACAGAGTGATGGGCATGGTTATTGCAAAACCAGTAAAAAAAATAGCTACAAAAAGTTTCTCGGATTTACATCACACAACATTTTCCAACTGTCCCTCCCACTCCCACTTGTAGGATGGGCCGTAGACGATGGGAACAGTGCAGAACGCATAAATACAACTATACAACACTGGTGGCAGAGTCATTTAACTGTTCAAGAGAGCATCAGATGTGATCTTGAAAAGAAAATAAAGAATTGCGTAAAACTCTTCCAACACCTAAACTATATTCGCTTATTTTCTTTCTTGATTGATGGAGAAATGCAACGACCTGGGCCAGGCCCATCTGTGTGTTACTGGACCCTTGTGGCCCAGCCCGTGTGGCGTGTGTGGGAATAGGCATATAAGCCTGCAGGTGGCGTGTGTGTGAGGCATCGGATTGTAATCACAATTATTGTTCTGAATTCAAGCTTTCCTCCCTGCTTCCTTCCCCTTCTCCAAGTCTTCTCTCTCAGATATTTTCCTTGGTTCGAGATCCACATCCCGGCGTGACGCAGGGAGGTGCTACGGAACGTAGCATTTGGTACTCAGAGCTGTGTATCGATCCGCTTCCTCTGATCTGAAATTTTTCCTCCAGAGCTCACGATCAATCCTTCGATCCGCTTGTAATTCCTGGCAAAAGGTGCAGATCCCCTCGGGTGATCTCGCGCAAAACACCTCCGGTGTACCTGCGCTGGGTTGAGTAGATCCAGGACCTTTCCGACGGCACGTTCGACCAAGCCCAATCTCTCGTCGCGCATGGCCGCCGCGGAGCTCACCATCGCCGAGCTGCAACAGCTCGTCCAGGCGACGATCGTGCAGAGCAAGGCGGTGTCGGAGGCGGGCGCGAAGACGGCGGAACGTCTGGATGGGCTGCAGGAGTCCCTCAACAAGTACGTTTCCTCCTCGGCCAAGGCTTTCGATGCGCTGGCCACGACGACCACGAGCTCGCTGGCCCGCACCGAGTCGACGCTGGGGCGGGTGCTCGTCGCGCACAATTCCCTCGACGCGGCCGTGGCTAAGATGCGGAAGTCGCTGGACGGGATCAAGGCCTGCGGACAGAGTCGCCACAAACAGAGCGACAGGGTTCTGATCAGCACCATTCAGGACAGGACACTCGAGGTCTGCGCGTGTCATTCCAGCAGAAGAATCGCGGTGAGCAGTCCAAATCGCACGCTCCTTTCTCTGACGAGTTATCTGATGACAATGAGGATTATGAACGATCACCGCAGTCGCAGTTTCACTCTGCCCATGGGAAATTCTCCGCAAGCATTCCTCGCTCTGATTTCCCCAGATTTGAGGGAGATAACCCCAAGTGGTGGAAAAATAGTGTGAAAAATACCTTCGGATGTACAATGTTCAATCAGAATTATGGGTCGATTTCGCTACTATGCACTTTGCAGGAAATGCAGCCCTCTGGTTGCAGATGTATGAGGCAATGCACACTATTGATAGTTGGGCCGCTGTGTGTGGCCGTGTTCGCGAAATTCAACAGAAACAAGTATTCTCGAGCAATTGATGTGTTCTTCTCTCTCAAGCAAACTGAGTCTGTCGATGATTATGCTCATGTGTTTGAAGAGCACATGCACAAGATGCTTGTGTATAACCACTCCTACGATGAAACCTTTTTCATCAACAGGTTCATTGAGGGCCTGAAACCTGCTATTCGTGCGCCGATCAAGCTGCAACAACCTAACTCAGTGGATCTAGCTTACTCCTTGGCACAGACACAAGAGGCATTGTTGGCTGAAGATACTTCCAAATACAGCAAAAGATGGGAAAACAGAGCCAACGCCAAAAATTATGTGCATCAGGGCATTATGGGAACAGCACCAGCACAAGATAAACCCCCTGAGACACATCAAAGAGCTCCAGATCGAGTGGATAACCTCAGGGCACAACGCCGAGCGCGTGGAGAATGTTTCAAGTGCGGCGAGAAATATGGTCCAGGACACAAGTGTCCCACAACAGTCCAACTTCATGTTCTGGAAGAACTGACTGAGGCTCTACAGATGTCTGAAATTTCGGACAGTGAATCTAAAACTGAGCAGCCAGCCGAACAGCCTGCGGTCGATAAAGGAACAGCATAAAGGAACAGCAGAAGAAGCATTCATGAAACTGTCAGTCCATGCAGCCCAGGGCACTGCTTCAAAGGATAGTATCCGATTACAGGGCATGGTTGGTAAGAGACAGTTGCTGATCTTAGTTGACTCAGGTAGTTCCACAAATTTCATCAGTGCAGAGTTAGTGAAGCACCTACAGTGCCCAGTGGAAGATATACCAGCGGCTAAAGTAACTGTGGCTAATGGAGGACTGTTACATTGTAACAAACAGGTTCCTAACTTGCAATGGTTTTGTCATGGAAACACCTTCAACACATCTCTGAAAGTGCTACCCCTGGGCACTTATGACATCATTTTGGGCATGCAGTGGCTAGAAACTATGAGCCCTATGTGGGTGGACTGGAGAAAGAAGGTCATGAGATTCAAATATCAAGGAGTCAGGATCACTCTCAGAGGAATAAGAGAGAAAGTCATTTCCTGCACAGGCATAACTGGCAAGCATTTGCAAGGGTTACTTAACACTAGTGCAGTGGACCAAGTGATTCAACTAAATCATATTGTGGAAGCCCCTGATACTGATCAAGTCATCCCTCCTGCAGTGCAAGAAATTTTGGCCAAGCACAAACAAGTCTTCACAGAACCTGACAAACTCCCTCCTCACAGGTCATTTGATCACCAAATCCCTCTTCTACCTGGAGCTAAACCTATCAATGTCAAACCATACAGATACAATCCAATGCAGAAGACTGAAATTGAACAACAAGTAACTCAGATGTTACAGCAAGGAGTCATCCAGGAAAGCACTAGTCCTTTTGCTTCACCAGTGTTGCTGGTCAGAAAGAAAGATGGAACTTGGCGTTTTTGTGTGGATTACAGAATGTTAAACTCTGTCACAGTGCCCCATAAATATCCAATGCCAGTAGTGGATGAGTTACTTGATGAGTTGGCTGGGGCTACATTTTTCACTAAGCTGGATCTTCGATCAGGATATCATCAAATAAGAGTGGTTGAAGGAGAGGAACATAAAACAGCTTTTAAAACTCATCATGGCCTATATGAGTTTAAGGTCATGCCCTTTGGTTTAATCAATGCTCCTGCAACTTTCCAAGCGGCTATGAATGCCCTGTTTGCCCATTTGCTGAGACACTGTGTGCTTATCTTCATGGATGACATCTTAGTCTACAGTCCAGATTTGAAAACACATTTGGAGCACCTCAATCAAGTTTTCACTATACTTCAAGAAAACCAGCTCTTTGTGAAACTTAGCAAATGTTCTTTTGCTCAAACAGAGCTGGAATACTTGGGACATATTATCAGTGGCAAAGGAGTGCAAACTGATCCCACTAAAATCAGAGCTGTGCAGCAATGGCCCAGGCCTACCTGTGTTAGAGATATCAGAGGATTTCTGGGTCTCACGGGGTACTACAGAAAATTCATCAGAAATTATGGAATTATCAGTAGGAGCTTATCTGATTTACTGAAGAAAGATACTGTGTTTTCTTGGACACCAACCAATGAAGCTGCTTTCCAACATCTTAAGACAGCATTGGCTCAAGCACCAGTTTTGGCACTCCCAGATTTCAAGAAGCATTTTACAATTGAAACTGATGCTAGTAATCAAGGCATTGGGGCTGTTCTGGTGCAAGAAGGTCATCCACTTGCTTACCTTAGCAAAGCCCTGGGACCCAAGGCCCAAGCCATGTCCACATATGAAAAAGAGTGCTTGGCTGTGCTCCTTGCTGTGGAAAAATGGAAATTTTATCTGCAGCATGCTCCTTTCACCATTTCCACAGATCATCAAAGTTTGACACATCTCCAAGAACAAAAACTCAGTGGTACCATGCAACAGAAAGCATTTCTTAAACTGCTAGGTCTGCAATACAACATCATCTACAGGAAAGGCATGGATAATGCAGCTGCAGATGCCTTGTCCAGATCTCCTACCCCAATGGAGTTGTCTGCTATCTCCTTTTGCACACCCAAATGGTTAGCTGTTGTGACAGAAGGATACCAGCAGTATGAGGCAGATAGGGAATTACTGCAAGAACTGGCCCTGACTGGTTCTAATGACAAAGGTTACACTCTACATCAAGGAGTGATTCGATACAAAGACAGGATTTGGTTGGGCCACAACAAAGAAGCCACCAGGCTATTATGCTTTCTTTGCATGACAGTGGAGTTGGAGGTCATTCTGGATTCCAGGGCACGTATCAACGCATCAAGGGACTGTTTGCCTGGCCAGCAATGAAACAGGACGTCCAAATCTATGTACAAGCATGTGTGGTGTGCAAACAAGCAAAGTCTGAGCATATTAAGAAACCAGGATTATTAAGTCCATTGCCCATTCCTAAAGAAGCCTGGAATATGGTCAGCATGGATTTTATTGGAGGTCTCCTCAAGAGCAAAAACTTTGACACAATCCTGGTGGTCATTGACAAGTTCAGCAAATATGGGCACTTCATTCCCTTGTGTCATCCCTTTACTGCTCTACAAGTGGCACAAATATATGTGGATAACATCTATAAACTTCATGGTCTTCCCCAGGTACTGATTACTGACAGAGATCCTATATTTACCAGCAACATTTGGCAAGAATTGTGCAAACTCACTGACACCAAGATGAATATGAGTACTGCTAATCATCCCCAGACTGATGGTCAAACGAAGAAACTGAATCAATGCTTAGAAACCTTTCTCAGATGCTTGGTACACTCAACCCCCAAAAAGTGGGCCTATTGGTTATCTCAGGCTGAGTACTGGTACAACACAAACTACCATTCTGCACTTGGAACAACCCCATTTCAGGTATTGTATGGGTATCAACCTCGACACTTGGGCATTGCCAATCTTCAGAGTACTCTGTCCTCGGATCTGTCTGGATGGTTGGCTGAAAGGAACCTGATGCAAGGATTGATCCGAGAACACCTGTTGCGAGCTCAACACAGGATGGTGACTGGGCATTTCTGAAGCTGCAGCCTTACGTGCAACAAACGGTTGTCAAACGATCCAACCACAAGTTGGGTTTCAAGTATTTTGGTCCGTACCAGATCACTGAACGTATCGGCGAGGTTGCATATCGTTTGGCCCTGCCAGAGACTAGCAAGATTCACCCTGTGGTGCATGTTTCTCTGCTCAAACCGGCAGACCCGCCAACTCCTACTTCAGACACTGTGGATTCACTATTTTTGTTGGGGGATAAACTGTCCAAACCGGCTCAACTCCTTCAAACAAGACTGGTTCGTGTGGGTGGACACACACGCACGCAATGGAAGATTGCATGGAGTGGACTTCCAATTGCAATGGCGACTTGGGAATGGTCTTCAGCTGTGACTGCAACGACAACGGCATGATGATGAACAGTCGAGGACGAGCTGTTCCTTAAGAGGAGGGGAGTGCAACGACCTGGGCCAGGCCCATCTGTGTGTTACTGGACCCTTGTGGCCCAGCCCGTGTGGCGTGTGTGGGAATAGGCATATAAGCCTGCAGGTGGCGTGTGTGTGAGGCATCGGATTGTAATCACAATTATTGTTCTGAATTCAAGCTTTCCTCCCTGCTTCCTTCCCCTTCTTCAAGTCTTCTCTCTCAGATATTTTCCTTGGTTCGAGATCCACATCCCGGCGTGACGCAGGGAGGTGCTACGGGAACGTAGCAAGAAAATTCTCGCGTAAATCTAACATATAACTTGCCCACAATAACCCTTGCATTCGTGTGTGTGTTTCCCCTCGACGCCAGGTTTGATCCGTCCCCAACCACCCCAGCGCCGAGGAAGACGCTCTCTATGCCATGGACCGCTACCCCGGCCAGGCCCGCGCTCCTGCTTCGGGGTGCTCGAGTGCAGGCTAGGGTTAAGGGGGGCGAGGGAGGGTGCGGGCAGGGCAGCAGCGGTACCTTCGGAGCTTGGAGTAAGCCTCGGCGCGGCGCTGCTGCACCGCGAGGAACCCACGGAGCAGATCGGCCACCCTGGCAGCGCTCTGCCCGGCGCTGCTGGCCGCCGTGTCCATGACGTCCCCGGCGGTCGATTTCACTTCCGCCATCTGGTCGCCGTTTCTTTTGCCTCCGGTCTTTTGCGCTACTTTCCTGATTTTTTTTATGGAACTTCTTTCCTGATTCAAGTGAAGTTTTCTTCTCTCCACTCTTTACTTTATTTCCCCCTACCACTTATCAAATCACGCTGGTTTTTATTTTTTTTTATTTTTATGTTTTATACGAAAATGAATGTTTTCTACTCCAACGCTCTTATATTATGAGAGGAGGAAGTAAATATTATAAATAAAAAGACACCAGCCAGGACTCAAAAGTGGGCAGGCTGACAAAAAAATTGTTTATCTCCTGAGATTTCCATTTGTGAATACACAAAGCCAACTTATTATGAAATAAGATGCAAAACAGCGGGATCAAAATATATTATAAACAGAGTATTCGCTCCATCTGGATATATAAAACTTGATTCACATTTTAAAATTTACTTTGATCGTCAACAAGATCAAAATTACCATACAAAATTATATCACTAGAAACTCCTTTGAAATACGACGTCAACATACATTTGTGGCATGCATCTCATATAGCATGATTTTGTTAATGCTCAAAATAAACCTCAAAATAAAAGCAGATATATGCGCTATGTGTTCCAAAGCTTTCTTTTCCTCATCCTCCTCCAGCCACTAGATACGGCGGCCTATCTAACGTAGCTCCCCGTCGAAACCAAGGCCCCCCTACCCCTCTGTTTGTCGCTCCGACGATGGGAGAGGGTAGAGACCCCACGGCTTCGGTCCAGTAGAGGCGGAGTTAGGAGTAAAGGAAGGGGTATGTCTCCGATTAGTGGTGGCAAGACGATGGCGTCGTCGTCGTCATGGAATAAAGTCCCCTGCCCCGTCCTCATTTTGACGGTGCTTCTTCGCCTCGTTGAGAGGGGTGTGGAAGATTATGTGTCCCTAAATCTGGTTATTTCTCTCATGTAGGTTTGTCTCGGTCGCGCTATCCGTGGCTATACGTCCTGTATTCAGGTTCAAGTTTCGATTGATGATGTTTGGCCAGTCTCAGGCTTGTCGGGGAACGTGCGAGATTTGTGTTCCCCTACCCCATATGGCCGGACTTAGGATGTTGTACAGGCCATCTCCGACGTTTTCTTCTCCAGGACGGAATCTGCTAAGTGGGTCGCTTTCGACGATGAGGTCTACATCAATGAGTTCCTAGCAGTTGGTTCTACAAGCTCATGGATTTCGACAAATTTGTTTCGCCAAAATGGAAGCCCAAAAGTGGCAACGCGCTTTGCTCACAACGCACCGTTGATGGATGCATGAGAAATAAGACTTCGACACCCCAAAAAACTTATGTACTTTTTTGTAATGGTGTTTTTTAAAGTGTATGTGCTACTTAATATATGGATCCTAAGAATGCGCTGACGTTCCCTTAACGAGGCCACCCAAGCGCGAACGCTCGAGAATTGCCATGACAAAATAGATATATTTGTCATGTTATAAAGAAAAAAAAAACCATACCGGCAGAAAGATTGTCAGGAATTTGTCATACCATGGCATAGTAATTGTCTGCGTTTTTGGGACTTGTCATGATGCTTCTTGAAGAATTGCCGACTTAAAAAGGAAAATGTTAACTTGGTTCAGATTCGTCATGCTGGCAAAAGAAAAATTGTCGTGCTACATCCGAGGGAACCGGTGAAAATTGTCATACTGTGGAAACAGAATTTGGCACCAAGATGTCTTCGCTCAAATTGTCGTCCTGAGTGAATCGTTTAGCGTCGTCAGCTGTAGTTCGCTCAGATGGGTGCATATGCGCGAATAAAGATTGCCACGTATCTTGGTTTGAGATTCATGCACAGGCATACAACGTGTTCGCTCAAAAGAAACTTGGCCTTTTAACAGATAAAAAAGTTGAGCCTCAAAATATGAATTAGGGAAGTACATGAAATGGCTAACAAAGATCGATCCACTGGAAAGTGGGGGAGGGGGCACAGGGAGTACACATTTGCAGAAATTGTTCCTTTAGGAGAGAGAGGGGGAAGAAGAGAGATACACATGTTAGATGGAACTTCACAAAGAAAGTGAAAGCTTAAGGTTTGAGCAAATATTTAAAATCATCCAAAATGTGAAGGAAGGATTCCTATGGGAATTCCATTCCTATAAAATTCCTGTAAAATTTCTTTGTTCCAAACAGGGCCTAAAAGCAGGATAAGAATTTTTATCATAAACGACTGCTCTCATTGTCCAGCCGATGCCAACATTATAGCTCCGGACAAGCTTTCAAAATTTTGAGTATTATTTCATTATTTTTGTTTGTACTCTGTATCAAAATACTCCCTCTATAGTGATCTAAACGCTCTTATTATATTTGTTTACGGAGGGAGTATAAGGCATTTTGCAGTTCATGAACAATAAAAACATCTTATATTTTGATACTATAGATTGTATAAATATTTGCTGGTCGTTTATTACTATTTATTTGAAATTATGCTTTGATGGCCCCATCTCTAGATAGTACTGAGTAATAATTTACTATTCTCTCCGTTCCAAAATGTAAGTTTTTGTACAGATTTCACTATGGATCACGTACGTATGAATATATATGCATTTTAAAGTTTAGATAGATTCATTGCTACTTATATAGTCCATAGTGGAATCTCTTCAAAGACAGAGACATATATTTGAGGGAGTAATTCGCAGCCATATCAGAGTTTATAAATTCTTTATATTACTCGTTAGCACCATCCATCTCTGAGCGCCTACACTACGTTGATCTACATGAGGAAATTTTATCATATCCCCTCCGGTATAGGATAAGACTGAACGACTACGTTGATTTGATTTTTCTTTTTTCTTGGCCTGCATACAGATGTAGCATCTGAACTTACAAACGAACTCACATCGCAATCACGAGTGGCATACACGTGAGGGGCTTCATACAATCATACTCCACGTGAAACAGGTCGATCCCAGGATCGAACCTGTTGTGGGCTGGTTGGCCAGCCCCAGAACCAACAAGGCGTTCCCGAATACAATGTTAAGTTGCAAACCGTGATAGAATTGACAACAAATGATATATACATATGTCGTGTGATCGAAAGATAATGACGTGTCACAGCTTACAAAAACTTGTTGGATAAAGACTTTAGGCCAGATAACTGATAACACGCAGCTTAGTAAATTATGATCTATTACATCAGGGATACTTTATATCAGAAAAATTGCTATGTGCTCTTATAGGTAAGAATACTCAAAACAGAACATCAAACGAAATTTGCATATTTGTGAGGAGCACTAGGATAAGTGCCAGATAATAGAACATGTACCCATGTTACTTCTAATTATCATGCACCTATTCTATTCATTAATCCACCACAATGTTTAAACTGGTTCAATTACCGCTCCTAGTTCTATTCTAGTTTTCCAATTAAACATACTGGTAACGCACACATAAGAGTGTGCTACAGTCTGCTCCTAGTTCTATTCTACTACTAAACCAAAAGAAAAACATCACACGCAAAAACAAATGAAGAACATAAGAGTGTGCTAATAGGTTGTAAAGCAACTTAGTAGCCATTCACCTCATCTTGAACTGTATCTTTTCTTCCCTCCTCTTCCTTTTGCTGCAGTCCTCCTCCACATCAAAGATATGAGCACTTGTCTTCCTGTGAGGGTTCAATCAAGCCAGCCCCTCCCACCCTTCCAACAGCCCTACCTCTTCGATGAGGACATCCCTCCCCCTACTTCGCCCTTTCCAACTACTAGCTTGCCCACAGGCAAAAAATTAGTCAACGGCCAAAGTCTAAATCGCTGCTAAAAGGTCTTCTGTTTAGTATTTACGCCTATGACCTCAGACCAACACAACTAAAATTGGACTGCCCGACAAGATAGACAAAAAAACGCATTTGAGAATGCAATAGCCTCTTTTCTAAAATCGGCACATTGATATTTTCCTAGATCTGCCAGAGATTCTCCTTAACCAACTTTATCTCACGATAATGATAAACTTGGCCAAAATAAACAAATGCTTACTTTGTAAACAAAGCAATATTCAACTTTTTGTTCAGAAATAAATCCACACAACATTTCTGGTCAGAAACATATCAGCATGACAAGAAAATTAGGGAATGGCATTTTTTTTAATAACACAAATTGGGTTTCAACAAATGCCAAAAATAATGACTGAAAATTCTTGTATAAAATGCAGTAAAAATTCCACGGTGCTTTAAATCGATAGAAAGTCTTTTACAATAGGGTCACAAGACAATAGTAACTTTTCGAAAATTTAAATAATTGTACATAGATTTGTTCAATTTTGAAAACATAGGATTGAGGAAATCAAAGTTCTTATGAAAACTTTGACCGCTAGAGTAAGCAACTTGCGAGAAGCAGCCTAAAACAGCATGTTTATAAGTGCGGCGCAGGAACACGTAGAATCATCTGGCCACAAAAAAATAGTTATAAGCATCCTGCCAAATAGCAATATGGATAAAGATAAGTGATATAGTTCTTAAACAAAATTTGAATATGCAAAAAAAGAAAATGAACTGCTAAATAAATGCATAACTCATAGCTTGGGGTTTGCAATAATTAAAATAAGTGACAGCATTTTTTAATGTAAGCACTGAAACCTGCATACAAGCTACGTATAATGTGCATATGCATGTGAAACAATGTTTGTGAGATGACACAAATGATAAGGCCTGCCAAAAATTCTTTGCTTGCAAACTGAAACCCATTCAAACCTACCCAAGGATACTGCAAGGCCATAGCCTTCAATCTTTTAGCCAATTTCCACAGATCGAATAAGGCAAACAAAACATAAACCAAGCATCATTAAACTAAAACAGAGCCCATATATTCAACACCTTCACTTCTAGCCTCAACCTATTACTATTTAAGCATATTAGTTTTATTTCTCAAACCTCAACGTCGATCAATGTTAGCTTGGCTAGCTCTTATGCAACAAATGTAATACATGTGGAAGGACCATCACTAAAACTAAGAAGCAATTTGTCGGGAAGTACTGGTTCCTTACTTAACAGATGACCTAC